TTCGTTCTGGTTTTCTTTTCTCCCCAGAAGGGACTTCTCCGTACACAAGTTTTCAAGGAAAGCCAGCTCCTGGCTGGAAGCCCTGTCAGTGTCCAAAGGATAGCAAGGAAAAAAGAGAAATCCACAGGCAAGGAAACAATCTAGTTAGGGAAAAAGCATAAAGTGTGCTAATAAAAGCCGAGTAAGTCAGAGAACACATGGAAACTGCTTTACTCCCAGTGAACAGCATCTACTCATGCAGACAGCCCTATTAATTTCAATGACATCACTCCTATAAGTATATATGACTCAAAGCAAGGACTGCTCCTTCCATAGTTTGCTCCGTTGGCTGTTTTCTCCTTAACAGTCGAGCTTAAGACCTGAGCAGTAGCTTTAACTTTGAATTTCCTGGCTTTTGTCATGCTTGGCGTTATTTAAATGTAGGTCTGTCAACATGAATAGGCTAAAATGCTGGTCCATCCTGGCTTGGAAATGGATTGTGACAGCTCTATGGCAGGATTGCTTCATATGCACAGTGCCCAGCCAACATCTGCAACACAAATGTCAGGCTGTGTCCCTGTAATTTCGGCTATTGTTCCTGCCACTTGCTCCTGGGGCAGCGAGCAAGTCGAGCAAGTCGCTGGTTTTCTGTTCCCTAGCTTGAGCCCTGCCTACCGGCCAGGTGTTTTCGCATTAAGGGCATTTGACAGTCACAGTCCCGAAGTGCCTCCTTTGTCACTTGTTAGACCCTGGGGCCTGTCAAAGTTGAAATGCAAAGAGATCAGTTGGTGTTTTGAGGCCAAATAACACTGTCGCTCCTCAAAACTCCCGTGGCTTCTATGTGGTGACTTTTCACATCACTTCAGGTGTTTTTTGCTGTTGGTTTCTCATATTTTGTTATCCTTGTTACACACACAGTCTCCTTCCAAGGTAGAGCAGATGTCAACACGACCATTTTTTTGCTTGCGTTCGCAATTCTTTTTTTGTTGTTTCATTTCTTTTCGCACAAAGACTTGGAGGGGGGAGATACATAGAAGTCTACAATCCCAAAGTAGGTCCTATGCAGTTCTTAGAGAAGCAAGAACTTATTGCTTGACCAGCACATAGTCTAAGTCTATATTTAAGAATATTTTAGAAGGAGAACAGGTTGGAGGGATAGAGATACAAGGAAATTCACTGGCATGCGTCTATCCTAGAATAACATTCTGTGACTCCTAGTCCAGAACAATAATAGTGAGAAGGCACTCCACAATAGCTGAATTACATCAAAAGAAAGAGCTACACTGAGGCAGTTCTTCCAGAGTAGACATATCTATTTCTTAAAAGTTGTCACAGGAGATAACTGGATTTACAAGGAAGAGAGGTCAAAGCAAGGAGTGGGGGAGGGGGGAAGGGAAAAATTCAAACTAAAAACAAAACACTGCAGTACACACATTTCTCCCCCTGGGGAAGGGGTGACAGTAAAGCATATGATGGATGTTAATAATGTTGCTTAATGCATTACTGGAAGGCATTCAGATCCCACAGTGCTGAGTGTGCTGTATAATCCTGTATGGAATAGAAAGCAGACATGAATAACATTATATAGGTGTTTAAATCCGTTATGATTGCATCTTGATGGGTTGGAATTTTTTGCTGTTGCTTGGTTTCATACATTTTGTTTGTATCCCATTAGCTGAACACATCAGTTTCAATGTTTATGTATTTTTCTCTCGCACACCATCTCCCTTGTTAAAGATTCCTCTGATTTTTTTCTGATGTTTTGAGTATTATCTTTGTAATTCCATTTATTTTCTTGGCATTTGGCTTCAAACCTCGCAGGCTTTCCTCCTAAGAAAGCTTTATTCTATTTTTACTTTTTTTTATTTTTACTACACCTTGACCTTTCTCTTTGTCACCAAAGGTTTTGACTGAGTAAGCGAAACGAGCACTCTGCCTTGAAACACTGAAAAGCAATGTGTGTTTGAAAACAAAATTTAGGCTACTGATAAGACTTTGTGCCTTCTGGAGAGATTCTTTTCAGTCTTTCGCACGCTTTGTCTTTTTTTTTTCCTTTTCCTAACTTCCCTGACAGAGTTGGTTGATGACGGGTTGCACATTAACAGACCACTTGCTTTTGAGGGGTGAGGAATCAGTGACACTTGACTAGATACAGCCGCAGCTACGGCAGAAGTGGCAACAATAGAGAACAGCATCAGCATGCATCCCACAGTCAGCTGGGTTGATGGTTTTTAGGCAAATAGCCAGTCGCTAGGCAGCCAAGGACAAGGACTTCCTTTTCCCTCTGCAGAGATCTCTGAATATTAAGCTCTTCTTCCCTCAAAGAAAGGGACACATTCCCATCCGTCACCGACAAGGTGTATCTACATTTCTTTGTGCTTGGGACGTGATTTCCAACTCAGGTGGTGCAGGTTTCCAGGAAAAGCTCGCCTCGTCTTTTTTTTTTTGTCCTGAGAAGTCGAGAGACCGTTTTTTCTCCCCTTCTCAAGTCTTGGGAAGCATCAGAGTGGCCAAGCTCCAGATGAGGCAGCTGTTCCCAAATATACTCAGTGGGAAGAGTTTTCATAACAATGGGAACCACATGAAAGCTCCCAGAGTAGCTCCTCCTACTATTGAAAAGTCCTTTCAGTTGAGTGGTTTGCATATTGGGTTGCATAAGTGACTAGACACACCAAGGGGTCCATTTTCAGCACTGTGCGCATAGAATTAGACACGCAAGCCTTGCTAACAATAATGAGAGTTGTGTGCAAAACTCCCTGCGCAATATGCTGAAAATATTCCGCTTAGTGAATCTTCCAGCTCACGGCTATTTCCTGGCAGTGCTGAGCTGAGTTCTGGGAACAAAATGAAAGTCTGGGCTCTGTGTGTGTTCGCAGAGCGCTCTCCTATAGTTCCTGAAAAAAATGGGAAAAAGACTCTCTCTTCCCTCCCTTTTTTTTTTCCCCCTTTGTACATCTGAAGTATAAATGAACTCCGCATCCCACTTTTCCTTCAGCAGCCTCAAGAAGCGAGCTTTAAGGCTGCTGCAGGAAAAGCCATTTGCCTTGAAGAAGCAGAACACAGATTTTGTACTACTATGTGTCTGGTTTCGGTTCATCATGAGCATTTGTGCCAGTTTGCTTAAGCGTGTGGCTACACAAGTGAATCCCGTGGAGAGGCCTTTCCTCTTACCAGCCATTGCGTGGTGGCATTCTGGTTGTGACCTGCCACCATGCACTGCAGCTGGTCACAGGAGCATAAGACACTAAAAATGTTGTCAGAAGGGGTTATAGCAAAGTTGTATTTATTTATCTATTTATTTATTGTGGGAAGTCAAAATGCTTCACGGTATTTTGCCAGTGAAGCTCTGCTAACATTTTGTTAGGTTTTATACAAAAAAAGTGACCGTGCCCAAGGGACGGTACAGAGGATGGCAGCTTAGGACTAGTATATCTTCTAGGCTGTGCCAAAAATTCACTCACCTTGAGGAAGCAACCTCATCCAGTTCTCCCGCCCCTGCCTCAGGGACCCAGAGAGTAAATTTGTCATGGAAATGTTGCTGTGTTTATTTGAGGGCTGGGGCAATACAAATACCTATGAAGAGGAATGACTGTGAAAATTATGATACAGTGACTGCCATTCATGTTTTTTATTAATGAAGTGGTAATTTTTTGGAACTAATTTGTATTAGCTTTTAAATCAATATTTAACCAGAGAATTGGGGGATAATTACTTCAGCCGAGAGGGAGACTTAATAATGGAGCCAGATACATCTGTGATGCCAACCTGTTTGTTTAAAGACAGTGCATATAGCATAGTCGTTGTTGTTTTTTCTCCTGAGCATTGAAAGTCTCAAACAAACCGGTAGCTGCACACAGCATCATTTTTCTTTCAATCAGCAGTCCCCAAAACAGCACTCTCTTTTCTGGATTCGCTGTCCTACTGCCAGTTGAGGCCATGTCTGTCTTTCTGCTCTGTTTCTGCATGCTTGCTTCTTTCTTGACATATACACACACACATGGACGCACATACACACACTCCCCCTGAGCAGAGCTCAGCAAAGCCCCAGGGAAGTGCAGGTTTCCGAATGCAGCGGTACATGCCTCCGTTTTGGGTGTGTGTATTCCCAACTACCCCTTGCAGCAGTAAAACCCCACCATTTGGGTGAGGTTGAATGCAGCCAAAACAGTAGGAGCTCCTGGTTTATTCAGAGGTATTTACTGTGGGCTGTCTTCTGGTTCACCGCAGTCCTTCACAGCACTCAGTCCAAAGAGACCGTAAGTACCCAGCTGTCTGTACAAAGGAGCCCCCAGATGACACAGGAGCTGGGGCTAGGACTCTTTGACACCTCCCTCCAGGTCACCAGCAAGGAGGAGAGGGGTGTGATTGCTGCCTGAAGTACACCTGGGCATCCCAATTCAAAGGCAGAAGCCACTTCAGGTTGTGCTCATGGGAAATACCCAGAGGGTGCGAAGGAGATTCATCGATCCATGCACACTAAAATCGCTGTTCCCTTTCCGGGGCTCAGATCGAGCAACACTCAGCTAAACCTGGAAGCAAGATGCCGAGCTGTTAAGCGAGGTGGCAGAAACGCTGGTAGATGGAGTGTTTTCCAAAGAGTGTAGGTGGCATCACGGGGTTTGAGAGCCACGTGTCCTTGCCCAGGGAGCTGGGTTTGTGTTCAAAGCCTGAGCCTGGGTCACAGCGATGACGAGAGCTGTAAGTTCTGGTGAGCTCTCTCTACAGGCTGGAAAAGCTTTTGATTAGCCATGTTTATGCCTCCATGGAAGTGCTCTTTGCTGGTTACAGCTGGTCTCACTGGGGGAATGAGAGTAAGACGCAGCGAAAGATTAGTATTTTTGCCTAGTGCAGGTCTGGCCTTAGATTTATCAGCTTCTCTCTAATCTGTAACTGAAAGATAACATACTTTTTGAAAGCCAGAGCTGATTATTGCACAGTTTTCTCCTCTCTTTTTATAGGCTTTTAGTTGCCCACAGCAGAGAAAGCATCGTGACTTACGTTTCTTTTTCCCTCAGTTCTAGGGAAAATTCGAACTGCAGTGGGCAGTGCCCAGCTTCTCATGGCCCAGAAATTTTACCAGTTCAGAGAACTTTGTGAAGAAAACCTGGTATGTAACTTTTCTGCTAGACATTGTTGTGTGCCTTTTACTAACCCTCTGAATAATCGTACCTAAACTAGACAGATTTTCTGACTAACATGGTAGTTGTTCCAGTAAAGGCCTTGGTATGAATTTGGGAGTGACTCTATGAAGCTCGGCAGAGTCAGTATGAGTTTCACAATATCTTGAGAGCTTTAAAATAACAGCAGGCAAAACGCTTTCGGTGAAATATCACTGAGGCTCTGCTACTGACTTCAGGGAAGCAAGAATCTGTCCCTTGACCTCTGAGTTCAGTTTGTATGGGCACAGAGATATTTGGGTAAAAGACCTTAAAGTCTTTTAGGGTGGATCAGAAGTCTCATGAGTGGGTCTTTCCCATATAATCCCAATGCCACCTGTACTAAACAAGGCAGAAATACCAGGAAATCAGACAGTGCAAGTTGGTGCTTCATGTTCCAGAATCCCAATAAGGAAAGAGAGAAAAATCATTTTCCAGAATGCTAAAAGGGCAAAGAGGAAAAGAGCCAGTGTGTTATCATTACTATTACTGTATGTAACTGATATATGCTACCACTATTTTTATTATTATTATTTGCTATTTTATGCTGTCTGTAGTAGTAGAATCAGAATGATATTCCTATTGATAAATAAAAATACAACAGTATTCTCAAAAATGACAGCACTTATCAAAATTTTCAAAATTTGAATTAATAATCCATCCTTGCATAGTAGATACAATGCATTTAATTCCCAATTTTGGCATAAACTCCTAGAAGCCCAGAAAGCAAAAGAGCATTAATCTCTGTCAGCATAGAATAAGGAAGGGAAGGCAGACCCTGTAATACTCACCTGAGTATGGTCATCATCTTCCACTTCAGTTAATGCACCTCTGGAAATCAAGCCCCAAACTGAAGTCTGCCTAAGTGGACACATGCAGCAGAAATTGGCTCTTTCTGAATAAGCCTTCTAATTCTTAATGTAAAAATTCAAAAAGCATTCTGGTTGTGCATCTTTGTTAATAAAAGCCTACAACCAGGCAACCTGATAGTGTCAAGCACTGAAAAACTAGGAATCCAAGTATAATCTCTGGTCTCCTTATGAATCTAAAAATATATTGTTTTCAGTAATTGTTCCTTTGGTGGTACAATCATCCTATCAAAATCATTCATCAGTGTTGCTGTGAAAAGCGCAAATAAAAATTTTGTAAGGCGAGTAACTGATTCTTTTGGGTTTACTGCTTCTGGTGAGGTAGGGAACTTGAACACAGAGTAAAACTTGAGCCATGTAAAACAACATGCAAGATTCTAATAATAATGTATTAATTAACTAATTAATTGATTACTTAAAATATACCAGTGTAATCTTATGAGGCCACAGCACCCATGAAACTTTGCTGACTCAGACTGGTGTAGGGATTGCTCAGCATTTACCAAAAAAGTGCTTGAAGTGAGCATATGCAACACCTCATTTTATTTGAAGAGTTTCAGCTGGGAACCAGCATACAAACACATATCCTGCAGAAAGCCTTTGCCAGCAAAGCAGAGACCATTTCATGTATGTCCACTGCACGCAGAAAATGTTCAGAGCTGGGTTGCACTGAAGAGACACAAGCTAGAACAGGAACTCTCGGGTCACCAGCCTCTGGCCCATGCCATGCTAGAGATGCTAATGGTCCAGGTGTGCTCTTCTGAGCAATACTCTGGGGGTGATGAGCTGGACTGAGTTTGCACATGCAAAGCAACACTCCCCGTACGTGTCCCAGTCTCACTCTTCCCAAAAATGCACCTGTAAAAATGAGATTACTGTGTTTCTGCATGTTCTCTTCTGAGCCTTTCACCCTGCAGAGTTTATTCTTGTAAAAAAAAAAAAAGAAAAAAAAAAGGAAGAAATTGGCCTGAGGTATATAAGAGGCAATTTTACTTGAAATGCTGTATTTTTGTAGCCCTTAGATTCTCGGAGGGTGGGAAAAGCGTTCACACACCAGTATATCACTATTTGTGCAATGCAGCAAGTGTGCGTTTGCACAGGTATCAGTCCTTCTGCAAGTGTGAGCTTCCTCATGAGAGTGAAGAGGAAGCCTGCAATTAATTTCAGCGCGGTGAGGATATCACCAGTTGCACTCGGGAACATCCCTAGGCAGATCCTGCTGCAGGAGACCTGCCACCCGCCCTTTCCCCGTGGTCCGTGGCAGAGAGCCGCTGCCTTCGGGGAGCGGGGGCTTGCGGGGGCACGGGGGCTCACAAAACCCCCCTCCAGTAAGTAGCGCTCCGCTTTGCTTCTCTCTCTGTGTCCCACCGATTGCTTGGATCTGCCGAAATTGCTTTGCTAGCAAGATGCCTAACTGTTTGCACAAATGCTTTACATTAAGAGGTACTAAAGCCAATGTGTTTTTTTCTTTTGTTGTACAGAATCCTAATGCACATCCACGGCCGACCTCCCAGGATTTAGCAGGGTTTTGGGATATGCTGCAGTTGTCCATAGAAAATATTAGTATGAAATTTGATGAACTTCATCAGTTAAAGGCCAATAATTGGAAACAGATGGATCCTCATGACAAGAAGGTAGAACATTGTAGATTTTGTATGCTTCATTTAAAACCCTGCACAAATACTGGACAGATTAAATAGGCCTCTGTGTTACAGCGTTGACGTTAAAAATGTGAAATGAAGTTCATATCAAATTAATTTCATTGTAATAACAATGTTTACATAATAATCACCTGGGATATTATCTGTAATATGTTTCAGGCATATTTTTAAACCAGATCTGTCTTTGTGAATCGGATAATGGGAATGTGGTACTTTGTTAAGCTTTACATTTAATCATATTAGATGATCAATCGTTGGAAGGAACTGCCTTATATATTGATTCTTAAAATTAAATAAATCAACATTTACGGTTCATATTATTGCATATAGCAAGAGTTCTAGGTTGTGTTACTGAAAAAACTAGGGAAACACTGTAACCATCGCTGACTTTGGTAACCAGATTACAAACAGAACGATATCAAAAATATGCCTTCCAAAATGTTACATGAAAGAACTACATCTTTTTTTTTTTGTCCGTTTGTTTATTTTCTGTTTATTTTGGGTGCTTTTTAATGGGTGATTTCATAAACAGGTTCACTTTGCTGGTGGTGTTGTTTACCCACGGTAGCATAAAAATCATCTGGAGCTTTGGTCTTTTTTTTTAAATGTGGTCTTCTTCTGTCACCATGAAAAACTACCACATCTCCAAGTGTGAGCCACATTTCACTTTCCATTCTCATTTGGCACCATTGCCTTATTTTTCTCCTCACTATCCGCACTGAGACAAAGAGCACTCGGGTGAGCCAAAATAAACAAATGTTTCAGAAAATCCTTAAAAGACAGACCCATTCCTAGAGGAATCAACGGTCTAATGTCGCGCTCCTATAGGTATGTAATTCGATGGCTGAATTTCCACCGTGGCTGGTCTGATACCAATGAATAAAGCCAACAGGTAGGGTCACCAGAAGGAGGGGGAACGTGACTTACAGGTACAGTGGCTCAGACAGGAGTCCGGGCTGCCCCAACCTATGGTCAGCTGGCTGCCAATGACCAAAGCGGTGTTTTATTTCGGACAAATAACCTTAATAATATCAAACCCCATTAATCTTGCAGCAGGAAGTTTGCAAAGGCAGCGCTGGTAGCACTCTCCCTCCTCCTCCGATCAAGACTAAATACTCATTCCTGGCTTAGGAGTGCCATGTTCACACCATTTGTGCACACCTAGTGTGTTTTGTAGGGGAATGAATGGGAATGGGTTTTCCTAGCCCAAGTTACTGAAGGCAAGTCATTTTCTTATCTTCTTTTTTTTTTTTCAGTATGTATCACAAAGGAAGTTAAAACCGTCAAACATGCATGCACTGAAACGCTGGTGTATGGTCTTTCATTAGCTTTTACAGTAAAGCGGGTAGGCCAAGTGTTTGCAATTGCAGCAGTAAGAAACGAGAGCTTTCCTTAAAAAGAATGTGCCTTTTCTTTGCTTCTGAAAAACATTTCAAAGAGTTTCCAACAAAAAGAAGACTATAACGGGTTAAAGGAAGTTAAGTAGTGCTGAAGAAAGGGACCTACAGTAGGAAGGTAAAGATTTTAAAGAATTACACTGACTGTGTTCCTGTTTCAACAGCATTTGTCTATGATTTTAGATGAAACAGATCTTCTCCTTTCTTAAAAAGGATTAAAAAAAAAAGGAAGAAAAAACTTTCTGTGGAATTCATATTTGCGGTTGCCTTTGGCCTTTGCCACTGGGCCCTTTTTAAGCAGCATAGATTAATCCCTGGATGGAGAGAAAAAGCGAAGTGTGAATAAGTGTAACTAAGCACCTTTATTTCTCAAGCCATGGAAGCTGTTGTGAGCAGCATGAGAGAAAACGAAAGGGCAGAATGGGACTTTTGTAGTGCGATAAAATCCCTTCGCTCAGAGACCATGTTCACAGTTGGAAGGGGATGTAACTTAAAAGACAATCTAATTAACTTGACAAAGTCTTTGTGGCCGCCTGAAATTCAGACCTGAATACACTTTTCTTTTTTCGGGAGAGAGCCCTCTCTGAGGGGTTTTTTTTGTTGTTGTTTTTTTTGTGTGTGTGTACATGCACCAGGATATACATAAAAGTCCTCCTTGTTGATCGCATATCTGGAGCTAGCTGCCACCGTGATGATTAATGCATGTTCTCTTAATGGTTTTTAAGTTTTTCCTACCAGTTTTATCTATTTCTAGCTGATCGTAGCTTGTCATGCCTATTTAGCAGGAGGCTAGAGTTTATGAGCTTGCATGGTGAGACCCAAAGGGTGGGGTTTTTGAGCAGTCGTTAAAACCACTACAAAATACATGCATAAATATATGGTGTTTAAAAAATACATTTATTCTGATGTGCCAGCTGCAGGCAGCTAGCTCCCATCTGCATTTGGGGACGCCAAAGCCACGGTACCTCCGTGTTTAAGAGCGCCCAGCGTTACGCACGTGTAGAAGAGGGTGGCCCAGGAGTCGGGGCTCTCCAGAGCTCCTCTGCCGAGAGCGGGGGTCGCTCCCCAGCCGCGGGTGGCCGCGTCCGAGATGGCCTCCTTTCTAGGCCCTGGCACCAGGAAGAGACGCCTGGGCCCCCCCGCCCTGGGCAGCCGCGCTAAGCGGTTAGAGGCGAGGGCCTCGGCGTTTCACATGCACCATCCCCGAGGAGAAGTAGCGCTGCGGCCGGCCCTCCCCTCCCCTTTGCCCCTGCCCTATGTTTATGAACCCTTGGGCACAAAAGCCAGTTCACTGAAGACAGAAAGGCAGATAAGAGCTAACAAACCTTAGGTAAAATGTGTGTTCTAACTACTGACGTATCCTAGTTTTTCCCACCTTTCCCTGAGAAGCTGTATAATGCCATTAACCTTCTGCTTTGATCAGGAGAGAAGGGTCCCTCCTCCAGTGCCAAAGAAGCCATCGAAAGGTCAGGTGCCACTCATACGAGAACGCTCTCTGGAAAGCTCGCAGCGTCAAGAGGCCCGGAAACGGCTGATGGCTGCCAAGCGCGCTGCATCGGTCCGCCAGAACTCAGCTACCGAGAGCGCCGAAAGCATTGAGATATACATCCCCGAAGCCCAGACCAGGCTATGAAGGGATCCAACCGGGAGGACTCTCTCTGGCAAGACAAGCCTCATGTATAATCTGCCCCTCTAGGCTCCTGCTCCAGGTCACCACGAAGTATTTGTACCTCCTCCTCTTCTCTCTCGCTCTCTCCCCCCTCCTCTCCCCCTCTCCTCTCTCTGTACGCAGCCGCCCCGATGCTCCCAGTGAACTCCACTGCCGTGGCGTAGTTGTCGGTCCTCCGAGAGATGTCCTCTAATCACCCTTGCTTTCCGAAGGCTCGCCCATGTCATCACGATGCTTTGTCACATGTACTGATGCTGCCACTTTGCCTCATGTAAACGAGTACAATCCTTTTTTTTTTTCTTTCTGTTTGAAACCAATAAACGCGGCGCCCAGACTTCCACACACCTGCGCACCTGTACAGTAGATGCTCCGTTTAACATACTCATGCTCTTTAGTTGACCTAAAGCTAGTCTGTTACCCAGTGTACAGCAATATCAAACCGTAGGGGACTTTGGAAATTTCAGTCATGCAGGGTGATCCTTTCGGACTCTGCCGTCTTCCTCACAAAAGATGAAAGGAGCTATGACTCAGATTCCCTTCTTTTTATTACTGTTTTTTTTAAAGCAGATGGCGCACTTTATTCTAAATCTCCGAATCACACCTTCTCACCTGAATTTAAGGAGTCACACACGGGGAGGGGGCTGGGGCGGGAGCGGGGAGGGGGGGAGAAAAAACCCCACAGATCCGTGGGGGTGAAAAAGTGGAAGTATATCCCACAGGTGAGATGGCGAGGGATAGAAAAGATCCCGTGGCAAGATACCTGCACACTCACAGCTGCACAAACTGCCTCATTTTTATTTCATCAATCACTACTTAAACATTTCAATCAGCAGAAGATTGTAAATTCGATCTTCCAGGGAAATAATCTATTTTGAAAGGCAATAAAAGAGTGAAAAGGAAGGAGATAAGAAGCAATGACAGTTGAAGAGATAATATAAAAGAAGGATTTTCTTGTCCGAGTATTAAGAATTTTTAAAATTGTACTGTATTGTCAATTCCTCTTGTATTGTATTGTATGGATTATATTGGTTAAAAAAAAAAAAAGAAAAAAAGAAAAAAAAGCTTGGTTTTGTTGATGTCTTAATCTCTCTGGGACCACCCGATCTCACACGTCCACGCAGCCGCACACGGACACCTGTAGGCGAATCGCTGTACATGGAGCCTCTGATGCTTTTCCAGGCCAGGCTTGCTTTGCTCTGTCCACAGCCGGTTGTATGCTACAGTTCAGACTGCCTATCACCAAGCGGTCCATACCTAGGAGTAAGTTTCCAATTCAACCTCTTCTTACCAGTATAAAGTACCCACTTGAAGAAGAACAATAAAGTATTTTTCACAAGTTATGGGATCAACATGAACTTTTTTTTTTTTCCCCCACGACAAGCCTCCCTACCCTGGCTTCTGCCATTGTTTTGCAATCACGAAAAATATGCATCCCAAGTAGTTCATTAATACTGGGGGAAAATGGCAGGCAATAGGGCTGGAGAGGAGCACGAGAGGTCCTGCGTGTCTGTCCCCCCCAGCCCCCGCCGGCTGAGGCCGGAGCTGGTCCTCCAGCCCCTCTGACAGGGAGGTACGCTGACCACGCCGCTACCGAAACCTCTTGTGCCAACATCAGGAAAGCTGTGTCTCGGGCACGTTGCCGAAAGCCAGCTGCGTGCGCGAGCGCGGGTGTGCACACG